TGGAGAGGCACTGATCATGCATGCCCGCAAATTGCACATAAAATGTATTTACAGTTTTACCTTGTTCAAGCACAGACGGAAGGGTCCCTTGTTCTTCCACATCTCACCGGTGACGTAGTCGCGGCGACCCAACTCGTTGGCGAACCGGTTGCCATCAGCATCGAAGATCAAACCACCGACACCACGCAGCGCCTCGGCGGCCAAAAACTTCACCTTCGCATCAGGATCCTTGGGGTTCACCAAACCGGTCGGGTGGACCTGCACCCACTCCAGATCGATGGTCCGCGCACCAATGGCTTCACCCATCTTGATACCGTCACCTGCGGATTTGATGGTATTGTTTTCATTCTACTGTGATGAGCAGTAGATGAACACGACCCATCTTCAAAAATAACGATCATCATTCTCTTAAGGTTGTACAGCAGACGAGCTGGAAATTTAAACTACCGGTGCAGTGCTCGCCATTCGAGGTGGGCAAGTGCATCAAGTCCGGGCGGTACTTGGCAAGCAGAGAGTCCTGGGAAAAGTCGGCGCCGAACCCGCCAGTGGCGATGATGACCGGTCCCATTTCCTTCAGCATGGAGCCACCCTTTTCGTAGTTGACGCCGATCACTTTTCCTCCCTGGAAGATCAGGCTCGTGGCCTTGGCCTTGGTGACGACCTTCGCCACCGAACCGTTGGTCTTCTCCGCGATCTTTTCCACCATCTGGATCAAGGCGTAGGTGATGGTCATACCCGGGAAGCGCTCCTTACCACGGTGGGTACGCGGGGCGGAGTGACCACCCAGACGGGCGACCAGAGAGAGGTCCAGACCGAACACGTCCATCAACCAGTCGCAATCCGGACCAGAATTTTCGGCGAGGACCTTTTTTTTGACGTGAATTTGTATTGCACAACTTGTCTACATGATAACAAGTCGTTGTAGTTGATGTACAAATTGTTCGAATGGACAATCATGCATATCCAGGCATGACAGCTGAAAGTTCTGCTTCAATAGTCAATCAACTACATACATCTATTTTTATACCTTGACCAACTCCGGCTTCTTCGCACCACCCTTCAAGCAATCGTTGGTAAACAGCTCCACGGAATCCTCAATTCCATTGGCACGCTGGGTCTGTAGTGGTATTGCTATTGGTAAGTGGTTTGAGCAGCATGACAGACTTGATCCATTATCTTGGTTTCACATCACCAAATGCATGCGTAAGCTTGCAGTTTGAACGAAGACATGCAGATTCCCGAACAAAAGAGAACAAAATCCAACTGAACAACAGCATATCCAATACATGTATCATTAATACCTTGGTGTTAGCCCCGTTGATTCCACTGGTGGCCTTGGTCGAGTTACCACCGCAGAACGCGGACTTGTCCAGCAGCACAACCTTGCCGCCGTT